CCAGGCAACGGTGGTGCTGTGCACTCGCGTTACACCATTCGCCACCCCTCCCATATAAAGTCAATAATCCACCTTTTGGGTCCTCGCCTTTAAGGCTATACGGAGTTTTCCTGGGCCAGGAAATGTGGGCGGGGATTTAAATGAATCTCCCGTCACCGAAACGTGAACTCGTTTTTTGTCATTTGTCTCACATATCATGTTGCCGGAAAACGGCGGTGCTGAGCACACGCGTTAGCCCGTTCGGCAACCCCGCCCACAAATAAATATTGTTAAATCTATCTATCCACCTGGCTTTTGTCTACTATTGAGGCATTCATTGTCGTGTAGAGGCCTCCAGTAGGATTACTCTGAATTAAATTCCTCTCCCATCTTAATCTCCGTGTCTTCATATCATGAAATATTGATTGACCCTTTCCTGTATGCAGCTCTATATTGGTCTTTCTCCTGCATGCACTAGTATCCTGATCCATGATCAGCTCCGGTTATCGTGCAGATGGCGTTTTTCTCGATTCTTCCAATAGGTTTTTCAAGGGCGCTGGTTAATCCAGATCTTACAGCCATATATTAGAATTTACCTTTAATATGAGATTTCTTGATATTTTTTGGGATTTCAATAGCTTTGAAAGGGAGAAGAAAGTTGTTTGTGCTTATACGCTTGTCTAGTTCCGCTTGTCTAGTTGTTTATATATATATATATAAACCTATTATATAAATTATATTGATATAATATAATATAAAGTTTATATTATATATAAACCTATAAATAGGTTTATATATATATATATATATATATATATATATATATATATATATATATATATATATATATATATATATATATAAACCTATTTGAAATTCGAATATCAATATTAATTCTATAGAACATAGGCGCATCGTAAAAGATGTTTTTTTCCCTCTTTATATTAATTGAACGAAATATCAATTTTTGTACTCACCTTAGTTAAATTCATTTTTCATTCCTGTCCATCTTCATCATCCTCAGTTTTTTTTTTTCAGAAATTTTCATTCAATCAATTACGCCTTCTCGGATTTACTGATAGATCGGATTAATCGAAAAGCTAATTTATTTGCATCATAGATTTCTTTGACAGTTCTTGCCCTTGGTTAGAGAAGGTTCTAACTAACAAATTTGGACAAATTGAGTTTACTGTTTGAGAAAGGGTCCACACACGCTGTTCAACTCTACTTAAGAATGGCCATCGATAGTAGACATTATCGAAATATTGATATTTTCCTCCACTTCGCACTACATTCTATATGAAACAGGCAGGATGAGTATGATTTTTACTCTGGCATCATTCATACATAATTATTTTTTTATTATTTTTTTTTTGTTATTGAGAAAAAAAAAATACATTTTGCCTCAATCAAGGGCATTGAGCATTTGCGATGTGAGCAACTCATTCATACAATATATACAATTAAAAAATAATAGAAATTACAACAAAAATAAGAAGAGAAAGCTTAGTAAAACAATAAAGTATGGTACGACGCAAATTAAAAAAAAAATAAAATAAAATAAATAACATTCATGCTTATTTACAATATTTACAGTCAGCCGAGGGATCTCCAAGTCGGGCCTTTTCCCCCACGTGTGGAAGACAAGGCAGGACCTTAAGAGATCACAGCGCTTCTCTCTCAGCCGCATCACTGAGATGGGGATCCAGTGGAGACTGAGAAAGAGCACTAAAGCCACATACGCTCATGACTTGAGTGGAGAAGCTGGCCATTGCCAGGACTCCAATGACGTATTTACAAAAGATCTCGAGGCCACTGCCTTTTTAACCTTCGAGGAGGATTGTAGGGATGGCTGGAGCTGGATAAGGATTGTGCTAAGGGATTAGGATGATGGATTAGGTTTTGATGAAAATTTGAGAAACGGGATGGAATGACGTCAAGGACATAAGGGGTATTAAGATCATGATGCAGAGTTTTGTTTGTAACATAATAGGGACCATTTACTATTGTACGAAGGACTTTAGACTGGAAGAATTGGATGCGTTTGATGTAAGCATCTTAAGACGACGCGTGGAAGATCGGCGAGCTTCAGATTTCACTCTTCACTGTAAACTACCTTTTTCAAGAAATGAAAGCAAGCTATGTGAGCAGAGCTGGTAGTTCGTTAACAACTTAACCTGGCTTAGTGTGTTCTTACAGTGTCGTACTTGACATCTGATTACTATAAACAACTTAAGGCAGGCAAATAATTCTAATGCTTGTTTATATTACTTTAGCAATCTGAAGGACATTTTAGGTGACGATAAATCGAAGAGCTAATTGACAATCCGAATAAATAATGATACCAGTATCTACCCAAGCTAATAACTTACAAACATCTGGCTGCTGAGAAAATGGCGAATACTTCCTTATTAGAATATTTCTTAAAATACATTGATTTATTTGCCTATTGCGATAAATTAATGTCTTTATAATATATAACCCGTGCTGAACTAGTGGAATCATTTGAGCCGTTTATTTTTAAAGTGGCCTAACTCCGTTTTTCAATTTTTTGCCGGTTACCATGGTTACATATACAACTTCATACTATATATCAGTAAAACATTTCTGGTTGCTTATACTCCGAGCAAATACGATAAATTTTTGACACATAAGTTTTCAGAATTATTTCAACAACTGAACCGTGTAGTTTGAAAGTGGCCTAACTCCATTTAAGAATGAATAATTTACTGTTCGTTCTCCAAGATTATTATAATAGTGTCTGAAAGATAATTATTTTATTGTATCAACAAAATTATTAGAAGACGCAATTTTTAAAAGAGTAAAGAATTCTAATGGAGAATCAATAAACTGGTTACAAATAATTTGGATGCGTTTTATCAGAAATGAACTGTATGCAATTTTCTATAAGACAACAATGAATGAGAATGAAAATTTTAAAGTCCTGAATTCATTACCAAGTCGGGGTAGACCAAAAAATTCGAAAATATTGTATTGACACCACTCTATAAAAATATCAGACAAATTACAACAACAAAATTTAAGGACATGATTGACCTATTGCTGTATATACCACCGGAACATCATGACTACTTCAAATGCCTTTTACACGCGCAAAATGTAGATGAATAGTAAATTGTTTGATAATAAAATGTTTATAATTTTGTATGTTCTGTAATTAAAAAATGTTTTGAAGTGGATAAATTGTGTTTTAAAGATATGTAAAATAAATTGAGTATTGTGTTTTTCAATTTGAAGCATCTTAAATTATGTTGAATGGACTTGGGTACCTTAAAATTTTATAATAAATCTGGTTGTTAATTTTGAAAGTGGCCTAACTCCATTCTCGATAAGAACCTTATTCAGTTAATAATTGTTACTATTTTAATTGGAACCTTAAATTTAACACCCGTAGATACACTAAAGCAGCATGACTCATTCATACCTATACGTATATTTTTAAATTCATTGAAACGCAAATCCTTAAATATCTCGATTTGAAGATAAATGGAGGTAGACCACATTCAAAATAAACGGCTCATTTCTTGATTTATTTATAAAACTTTATAAAGTGTTGTTCGTTATTTACGGTGTTAAAATTATAAATAACTGCCTTTAGAACTAAAGTAGGTTAGAACCAAGTTCTATAAAGTGATGGAGAACAGTATTGTAACTTGTTATCTCCTTTTCCACTATTCTATTGCTAGTGAATTACTATTCTTGAATAAGAATGGACATTTAAATAATAAAAATAGTTAGGTCATGATAAAATAGTTAAGTTCCTACTTATAGGCCTTAGCTTAGAAAGTTAGTCGACTTTTCTTAATCGATTGTAGTTCACATATTTTATACGTACATGTAGCTTAATTGTTATCAATTTTAATTTTTTTTTTACTTCATATTATTGAGGGAGCGAAGCGATATTCTCATCCCCTCAACAATTTTATTGGGGGATGGGAGGGCGATCCCCCCGTTCCATCCGAAGTCTGTGGCTATGTTATGAATGAGGCGATTTGCTTCAAAACCAGCTACATCCAGTTTCAAATAACAGGAGATACCAGAACTAAAATATTGTGCCCAATTTTATCTGCATAAGCTAACATGTTTGAAGTTCACTTTGAACCCATTTTATAGTGGATCGAGATATTTTTTATTAAAAATTTGTGGAAAATAAAAAGTTTTGTAAAAAAAAAAGAATTTGATAGACACGGGTTTGTAGTAGACATCCCCTTGTATTTATTTCTTTTTGTGACATTGTGTGCGGAAATGAGAAGGAATATATAGGAATGTGAGATTGCATGATGAATTGTATTCAATTGTGCAGTGGACAAATTGTTCATTGAATAGTCTCATATCGATAAACAATTGATGAAGAAGGAAAAAGGTCCGGTCAGGTAGCAGCAGCTGGAGAAGGACGCTGGAGAGAAGGGAAATCACTTGAGGCCTGGACACGGAGGCGAGAGGACGTTACCTGAGAAGAGAAGCCTACTACATTGAAGACTAAGAATATCAAGCCAACAGTTATAAGACTTTAATAGATTCATTTATTACAGTTGTAAAATAAATTATTTTGTTATACAGGAGTGGATAGTCCTTTTACTTAGTTGTCCTATAGGCCTCAAAATTGAAGAATAACAAACAAGGTGAGTGAATTCATTCAAAGTGTATTTATTCAGTCCCATATTTCATATATATATATATATATATATATATATATATATATATATATATATATATATATATATATATATTTATTGTTTCTTGTCACTCAGTGTCACAAAAGTATTAGGTTCCCGAATTCCCAACGACAGTTAAACACCCTCAAAAGTCTATATCCAGCGCCGGTCTATTCCTCCGATCTATTCGCTATTGGATCGCCAAAAAGGTCATTAACAATTAACCTTAATATGTTATTTACAGGTTTGAAGCTCACTGCTTAATATAACGTATCAATTAAGTTTAATTTATAAAATATATTCTTGCACCAGAAACTCCTTCTGCAAATTTTTTTTTTCTAGGTGTCAGGTTTGCAGGGAAGAAGAGCTATAGTCGTTGCCTGTGGTACAAATTTCGCTTTTGTCAAGACAGAGTTCGAATCGCAGTTGAATCAAGTTGCAATGACAGAGCTCTCGGAGGTATATCGTTTATTTTCGTAAGGTTACTAGTTATTAATTTATAATAGTGATCTCTTCTACTTGAGTGGTCTCATATCAAAGGCTGGCATCTGTCAACAAATTCTAAATTGGTGATAGGTTAATTATTTTTGAATTTATCAGTTGACTCTTATAGCATTTTTCTCGCTTTTTTAAGTGGTGAAATCAGTTTATATTAAAAGAGAATATATATTGACGTTTAATTTAGCTTTAAACTTGACAGTTCGTTTCAAAAACAGAAACCTGCAATGTAAGTTCATTTTAAAATTGAACATCTACTTAACTTCCAATAGAATAGCCGGATTCTAATCATGTGATTCAATCTTTAGTAGTTGTTGCATGTTATTTTCTGAAGAGAAACAACAACAAAACACGAATTTATTAAATCGAATGTTGATTTAATAAAGTTGAAGAAGTAAAGCTGTAGGTTGATAAATTTCAGAATAAATGGTAGCTAATAAAAAAACGAACTAACGAAGATTTTCTCATTCAGAAACTCCAGAAACTGATTAAGCAATATAAACAGGAGAAGCCCAACTCCGGTTTAAAACTAAGTTTAAACTAAGTTGGGAAACGCAGTTGTAACACAGGATAAGAGGCTTACAACATTGGGACTGAAGCAGAAAGGCCTTTTAGTATACACCCTTCAACTGAAAACACGGTGGGCCAGACTCCCCCTCAAAAATTTCAAATATTTTAAAAAGTAATCAGTGTTTTAGAAAGAGAAATATATTTTTCAGATGTTTTATTTCAGCTCGTTTTCCGTTGTTGTTGGCCAATTAATTACAAACGACTTGAAAGTCTATTTGTTAAAAAATTGACTTTACTGGTGTTTTTTATTGCTTAATCCATTTTTTTTTCATGTTTTATTATTCTTTGACTATCCAGCTTTAATAAAAGAACAACTATTACGAAATTAAGCCAATTGCTGATTCTGAGTGACCAAAAACTAACTAAAGTCTAAGGCGTCAGTCTGCCATGTTTGGGCGCCATTTTCTGACAGTATGTTAACTTTTTTTGTAGGAATATTGGCTTTTTTTTAATAAATAGTTACAAGGAACACAACGATATGCAATTTATAGGGATGTGCAGAAAGGGTGTACGGTAGGGGGAGGGGTCTGGCCCAAAGACTGAAAGGAATAACCTCAAGCCTCCTACACAAAAAAGAAAAACTTGAAGCCAATCGATGTGATTTAGTATATTTATGATTTGCAAAACTTTAATTAAATACAAATGTTAATTTTTCTATTAACAGTTTTAAAAACATATGTAAAAATATTAGTTATGTCTGGTTTCTAAGTTAAGAAGTTAGTTATATAGTAATTAGAAGTCATTTGTTTCAAAAACGGAAAATTATGAATATTAGTTTTAAAAACAGGCATCTATATTTTCAAAGATGAATTTGACTTAATATTGATGTCACATTTTTTACAGATTTAATAAACAATCCTTAAGCTGAATTATGAAAAAAATAATGAAGATAATTCGTTTAAATTGGAGTCTTACAATGAAAATTCCCTTTTTCTCAAAATTCTAAAAATGATGTCTTTTATATGTAGCCACTTACTTAAGTTACTAAGATAGTTACTAATACAATTATTAAAAAAATAATAATTAATTTAAATCTAAAACTGAGTGAAGAATTATATTTTTTTATTATTTCTTTAGAATAGTCATTACTTTTTTATTTCAACGTTTCAGGATCTACATTGTCATTAGTTAGTTAGTTAATTAGTGCATTTTGTTAGTTGACATGTAAGGTAAACATTTTTAATTGTTGAGGTAAAGACACTTCAAGAGAGATTTTCAACATTATTGTAAACACAGTTTTATCTTTGGATCTTAGCGAATGTTTATATCAGTCTTTTTAGAGATTTTTTCTATACTGTCAATTATCTATTGGTTAATTATTCAAGAAAACTTAAACATAAAAATTCTTAGAATAAAAAAAAAAAACCTAGAAAAGTCCTCCGAACAATAGTCGATGCTCCGTTCTATGTAACCAACAAAACCCTACATCATGACCTTAATATCCCATTTGTCCTTGACCTTATCCCTGAAAAATTTTCAAAATTCCATGAGAACCTTATCAATCATCTAAATGCCCTAGCCCAATCCCTATCTAGTTCCACTCATCCCTACAACCCTCCTCGAAGATTGAAGCGGCAGTGGCCCAGAGATTCTGGCAATGGCCAGATTCTCCACTCAACACATGAGTGTATGTAGCTAAAGCGCTCTCGCTCAAACTCCACTGGCTTTAGCACCGGTGAGGCGGTTGAGAGAGTAGCGCAGGGATTTGGGTTCCCCGCCTGATTATAGATATTGTATATAGGTATGACTGTATTTTTGTGTTTTTAATTTACTTATGTTTAGGTTATTTTATTTTTTTATTGTATATAGTTTTTGTTTATTATTATTTAGTTATTATTTTACTTTTGTTAATTTTTTTGTATATACGCTGTGAATGTATTCATTTATCAATATAATTATTGTCACCGTGACAGAATATTATATGTCTAATAAAAAAAAAAGAAAAGAAAAATTCAGATAGCACATATTCCATCAGTAACAGAAACTTAAGTTTTGGGGCCAACAGGTTTATTATACAAGGTGTCTCAGTTCTTGATGGATAAACTCTGCAGGAGTGATACTAGACAAAATTTCCAACAAAATAGAACGGAAAAATTGTTATTAACACCAATTTTGCGTTGTTCTTAATGAGGTCACGTTTTTTATTGTATAAGATGGAATTTATCAATAATTGTCCAAGATAATTGAATTCTAAGCAAACCATCTTAAAGTAGACAAAGTTTCCTATGATAAAACATTGTTTAAATTTAATAACATCAATGTTAAAATGGACTTTCAGGAGGTCTAATAACGCAAAGCCTACCATTATACCGAATTATTTCACGAATCGGAATTACAAAGATATGCTGAAACATGGGATCACCTTAATAAAAAACACAAAATTAGTCTTAACTCCTTTTCCGTTCGGAATCGATCCTTGTATCGAATGAATTTTTTTTGTTAAAAATTTTGCATAAAATCGCTCCAAGAGTTTGGCCATTAAGAGCTCAAACATCCAGTTAAATAAAAAAAAAAAATTCTCCACAGTTTTAAACTAAGAAATTGTAGATGAATTAACAACAATTTAAACTGATCTCCTTAATAAAAGTGAAAAGGAAACCAGCCTTCCTCAATCAAAAAATAAACTGCCAATTGGATATTTTGGTATACCATTTGAGGTTCAGACACCTGCTAAACGTTTTACCTCTAAATCTACTCATATTTATACTCTCTATTGTTGCTAATGAGTTGAAAACTGTTTATTACTAATACAGGGCCAATTACTGGTGTATTTACCTTATATTTATTAGTAGCTGTTCCTCGTAGAACATATATAACTTTGTAACATTAATTGAAAACATTCCTTGGCATACCGAGAGCAATACCATGTTATTTGTACAGTACCTTCATCACTTCTTTGATTAAGAAACTTAACAGTGTTAAAGAGGCCTATACAGACTTTTATTTCCTCAAAATGGTTAATACTCAAAATACTTCACTACAGCGCAATGGTGGATCCAGGAATTTTCTCAGGGGGGCGCTATTTTTTTCATGCATTACTACTAAACAGTGTATCAAAGCGAAAAACGTATTCTTTAAGAAATTAAAGAACGTGAAATTGTGCGTCGAACGACCTAAACTTATTAGTTTGATTAAGTGATATGGTCGATAACCATGGTCAATGAACACTAATTTTTACTGACGTTTTCGATTTGTCGGGGGGGGGGAGGGGGAGGGATTTCGGTCAAATAAATACTAAATTATAAAAATAATATTATTATTAATTTATTATACCAACGTTTCGACCCACCTTGCAGGTCTTCTTCATGGCGTGGCATCAGGCACTGCAGTAGGCATTTGATAGATTCAAACGTGGGCGTAATACTATTATTATAATTTAGTATTTATTTGACCTCACCCCCCGATCAACTCCTTCTCATATTATGTCACGGTCAACCATCTCTACATCATTACAAATTAATTTTGGTTTGAGAGGCATTAGTAATGTGAATAACATTGAATTTATTCGAACGCTTTTATCACCCTTCTCGTATTTGAGCCATTTAAAAAAAAAAAAGATGAGTTAGAGAAAGACGATAGATAAAATAACAAACAAAGAGAAAATTGTCAGAAATAATATTCATCATTTTAAACGGTTATTAATTATCATTGTTGAATGTTGATATAAACAATTCACGGAACCAGATAAAGTGAAGTGCTGTTCACTTTAGTTAATCATTCATTACCGGGAACCTTTAGATTCTCTTTGCCTACTGAGATTGTTCGGATGAAACGCTCCGTCTTCGGGCCTCCCAGCTGTTATATAAACATTGGTGCGGTGCCCGCATCACACATTAACTTACCATTCTTCTTCGATGGCGTCACACATAAAATTTATAAATCCGAATTATAGTTACGAAGAAACCGATTCGAGTGTTGACCTTGATGTCAACAATCAAAATCTTCACAACTCAATTTGTCCCATATCGATCTATCGACTTACCGACTTATCCCAATATTGGTACTTGATGAAATGTATATTTCTTTTAGAATGAATAACAAAAATCTGGTGTGTCCACTCACACGACTTTCCTACCTATTTCATAAAAGTTTTTATATCTTTTCATATGTTCATGAAGAAACAAAAAAAAAAATTTTAAAAAATAAAAAAAATAAAAAATGAGCTAGATTTATTTAAATATTTCAGTACGATTTATTTAATAAATTAAAGCAATGTAAACCGGCTTAAGGTAAATCAGTGTAAACATTTCAATACTTCCTAATATTGCTGATAAAAAACTTTTTGCCATGGCTTAGTATTGTCAAACAATAATTTCTGTTAAAAGTTGAGGAAATAGTGAAGATTGTGTGATGCGGGCAACAGATTTTCTTACTTTCACTTAGTCATATTT